TAAGATCTTTACTGGAACAACAGCAACGTTTCTGTACTTAAACAGCCGCTACTTACACATAAATTGTTGATCGAGCAAGGTTTCAGAAAATGTTACTGCAAACCTAAATGTACCAGAAATAGGTCTGTTTGTCGATTGTACTAATAAGTGAGCATAATTATATCATATGTTTTGCAAATTCATTTTCTTAATTGTAATAATATTTTAAACGTTTTATTCTTTATATTATAGTTTTTTAATTGATTGATGATTGATTCTCTCAACTAATTTGTTGATTGTTTGATTTTATTAATTTGATTTTTTAGATATTGAAAAAGAAATTAGTAACATTTCATTAATTTAAGCGTGTAGAACATTTGCTGTTGTTCCAGCAAAGATTTTATTTTTAGTTTAACGAACGCCTAGTAGGCAGTGTGCAGATTAGGAGTGCCTGTTAGGTAATGTGCAAAGTGCAGAGAGAGGGAAAGGAAATGAGGGAAACAATTTTTTGAACTTTAACGGTACGGAAGCCGTTAATGTGCACATTACATATGTAAAATGCGGAAAACTCTTGATTACGCACTTTAACGGAGAAAATCAAATAATCTGCAGATTAGCTAGATAATGTGCACATTTGCGACTTTCGCACTTTAGCGGTACCAGATATATTATGAATACGGTCCAAGCCCAATACATTAAGACTTAATCCTAAGAATAGCTAAAACAAGATCTAAAAATATTAATTTGCTCCCTTTTGTTTTTAAATCATTAACGATGCTTATGGTTGCATTCAATCGAGAAGAGAATATATATGTATTGAGAAGTCTGAGCACTATGCACTGCGCTGTAGGCAGCTTGATAGCAAAACAAGGCTGATGTGTGAAGGAAACTTTGTAAGGGCCATTAAATTTTCTTAATAAATTTGTAAGATCTTTGATTAAACATTTTGTATATGGAACTAACTATTTATGTGCTTACGGTTCCGAGTGACATTGAAATAAATCACGAAATAATGATAATTTAATATGAATGCTTTATATCAGGGGTCGGCAGTCGTTTTTAGTAGGATGGCATATTTCGGCAACCATCATAGTAGTAGTTGAACAGTGTTGCCAGAAAGCTTTCAACTGAAGTAGCAAGAGAAGAAACGAAAAGTCGCAAAAAATAGCATGACGTCATAAATTCATAATGCTCATGACCTCTGATGTCATCGCAAATTCAGTGTCCTAGAGTTCCGTATGTTACGGATTGTAATTCGATCCTTGCATGTCATATTACGTATATTAGTTTTCGCGGAAATCTTAATACCAAATTGCGAATTTTCCAGTGTGTTAAATCTCCATTTCTTCTTTTAAATATTTCTTAGTTAATTACGCTGTTATAGTCCAAAGGGGCTTTGTCCCTGAAGGACTGTTGTTGTCATTTTGCGATTTTGCGTTGAATCACTATAAATGTCCGTTTCACTTTTCAAACTGTTGCCAACAAATGTTAGAGTCCTGCATTATATTTGAAGAAATTAAATAATGAAAAATCTGTATAAATGTATATTGTTACGTAATTTTCTTCCTTCACGTTCGTACGGGGTTTGTGTGGATTCGGAGTGACTAACGACGACACTACTTGATGAAGTATCGAAACACACTTTATTGGCCGGTATTAATCAGGATAACTCCAAAATCTCGTTTACAAACTGTTATAAACACGCTGACACGTTCAGCGACACAGCCTTCACACTGTCAGGCTATCACGGTAGAGACAGCTTCACGGCAAAGCACTAGAGTACAGTTCCCGACTCTGCTTGGTTGTTCTCCAGAATTTCACGTACTCTCGAGACTCTCCACGCTACAACTCGCGATGCACTCGATGACACTCAGAGCACAACTCCCGACTCTTCGGTTCAGTCGTTACCGGAGCTCAACACGCTCTCTCGACGATGCACTAACCGCGATACACTAACAGACGACTCCTTTGTTGAACTCGACGACCCACTCGGCACTCGTGCCCGGCTGTCAACTCGATCGACTCCGCAGGGATTGACTCGCTAGACGAGACACCAACTCGATACTAACTCTCTCGCACTCTAGACGAGGCACTCTCACTCGCCCTCTCGACGAGGCACACTCTCTCGCACTCTATGCGAGGCACCCCCTAACTGCGGACCAGCAGGGTTTATATAGCTTTTGGCTTGTGTTCGAGAACATTCTGGGCTAAACCGGTAAGAATTCGTTCCAGAAGGTTCTCCAACCATCCATGGTATGTCGCGAATTTCGTCGCCAAATATAGCCAAATGGGCGATTTCTCGCCAAATATGGCAACACTGCCGTCCTTTGCCATTTTATGGCAACCCTAAAAATGCTTTGCGGGGAAGCCATCTCACCGCGCCTGTACATTTCGTAACAGTATATTTCTCGCATTGTGATAAAACAACGGTACATAGAACCATCGAATTTTGAATGATGTAATCTTCCTACGAATATGGTCATGTGGAAGACCAAATTTGAAACGGCTGCAACTCGCCTTGGTATGGATACAAGTTCTTAAAGACAGGTTATACTAAATATCTAACTAACAAAGTTGAGATACTCCGATATAGTGGAGTTCGAACTCTCAGCTGCCGCTCCGTGAGGTCCCAACTGGGCTGTATCGGGTTGAGATGCGGCGAGTTAAATCCCAGGATATTAAATGGAATTCATCCTTATGCTCCTCGAACCACTCCGACACAATTCGAGCCTTGTGACAAGGAAGATTGCTGGAAGATTCCATTTCCAGTTGGGAAGGTAGACACCATATAAGGGTGCAACTGATTCGCAGTTATGTTCTGATAGGCCGCAGCTTTCATGGTCTGTTTTACCACAACTAAGGGTCCCAAAGCCGCCCACAAAAACGTCCCCCAAAACATAATACCGCCATCACCAACTTGTGTATGGCCTGCTGTACATGGAGGAGCAACTGTTTTCCTGGAAGACGGCGTACCTTGACACGACCAATGACATGATGAATCGGAAATCTGAATTCATCCGACCAGGCAACTGTCTTCCGCTTATCCATGGTCCAGTCTCGATGTTCTCGAGCCCACTGTAAGCGTAGTTGACAGTGACACTTGGTCAACTGCACACAAGTGAGATGTGTGCAGTCTCATATCCAACAGTGCCCGCTGAACTGTGTGTTCCGAAACACTTGCACTTAGACCTACAATGTAATGAGCTGTCAGCTGAGCCACTGTCTGGCGCCGATTTTGCTGTGCCAAGCGATACAGTCTCCTACATCCTTTTTATTCGATGATGCGTCTACTGCTGCTTTCATCGTCATTTATCTACTTTGCATGAATACTAACAACGGCAGATCGTGAACAACGTACGAGTCATGCAGTTTCGGAGATACTCATTCCGGTTCGGAGATACTTCTTCGGACCGTAACAATCTGTCCTCTATCAAATTCGTTTAGATCAGCAGCCTTTCCTATCATTCACAAAAGTAAGTGCAAGAATGATTCCTGATCTTCTCCGATAGCATTTAAATACCATTTCCGTTTAATCACTTGTCCTTCACGTCATCCCTACGAGTTCATTGAAAAATGTGGGAATGCTCATAATGTTTTGGTTTTTAACTCGTTAATGCATATCAGTTAATCTAAAAATTTTTATCTTGAAATTAATCAAGTAGCGTTTGAAATATAAATACGTTAAAGAACAAATACAGTGAACGCACTCTACGACAATTATCCGTTTTAAAGCATACAGTGTAATGTTATGCTTTAAAGAAGTCCTATGCTTTAGTAAATTAATTTTATGCGCTCTCAGTTCAGATTTGTATAACTTGCAATAAGCTTTTGTGTTCCTTGTTGTCATTTTTTCTAGTTGATTCTCAAACTTGGCTATTTTAAGCCAAGTATTTTGAAAGGTAGTGCTGAATTTTTTCATGTTACTCATAATTCATCCGTTACTTAATATAGCGGCTGTTTTCTGACTTAAACATTGGAATCTTGCTTATAGCTCACCAGAATGTTAGAAAAGCAAGCAATGAAATATATGAAAATAAGAGCTACTAATCTTGAAAACTGAATGCCCATGCACTCATGGGCCACGACTGCAGTTTGCCAATTAACAACTTTTATTAAAGCCTAAATAATGTATTACTTTTTTATTATAAATTAATGTTAATATGTTAACATACGTGAATTCTATGATAAATTTAAAAAAAAAAGTTTAAGTAGCAAAAAATAGCTCAACGACATGATGAAGTAGCAGAAAATTCGCAAAGTCGTATAAACATAAATTATAGTATCAAATTTGCGAAAAATCGCACGGTCTGGCAAAACTGAGGATGAAATGTCTCTCAACGTTATATATTTTCAGTTGCTATAGTTGAATTGCATCAAAATTGCTCTTCCCACCCAACATCAAAATTGCTCTTCCCACCCAACATTAAAATGGTATTGTTCTCCACACCAAACATTAAAATGTCTTCTGCTTCTTATTTCTACTTTGTCCTTCGCAAATTTTTGCTTTGAACTCCAAATACTAATTCATGAAATGACAAGTTTATGTATGATCAGAGGTTATGCATGTAAAACATAACACGCCGTGGTTTCACAAGAGTATACGAGCATGATGGAGACAGAAAATTGTTCACTGGATGCGGAATCAGATGTTTCTAGCTGTCGAAAATTGATTCATCTTAGTCATGTAGATGTCGCTAAGATTCAGCTTTTAATAGTTTATTTGTTCAGTTCGCATAACTGTTAAGATGCCGAAGATAAGATTATAATTTTTACCAGCATTATTCATTACAGTTACGATGGTTTGTAGTCCAAGTATCTGAAATTTAAAATTTAGGTATTTGTCCGCTAATTTAGATATTAGGTATTTAGGTATTCATTGTTCGCTACTGTATATTCCTCATACAATTTTCGTCATTTTGCTATAAGTATTCTAAATTCTTGAAATGTTTTATGTGTCTTATATACAGTACTTTTTTATATTATATTTATTGTTATTTATTTATTTATGTATTTATTTTTAGAATTGGTATTAATTTTTCCACATGGAGCGTTCACCATGAATTTTGTACCATTTGTGATTGTACAGATGTGATAAGTGATGACTTCTGAGTACCAACATTGGTACAATGGTAATTTTTTTTTTCTTTGTGTTTGTGTGTGTGTGTGTACGTGTACAAAAATCGATATTTCAGTTTGTGAACTCAAGTTGCATACATAAACTTAAGTCTATTAGTCACAATTGGAAGATGCAAAGTTACACTTCTGAAGCTTCGAAATAAATAAAAAATAAAATTAATGAAAAGCTAACTTAGAAAACGCAAAGAGAAAGTAACACCGAATGGATTTTACAAAAATTTAGTCATCGGGATATTCGAAAGAGCTAGATGTTTCATGATTTGCTTGTTAATTTTACATTGATGATAACAAACATATTTACGTTGTTTGAATAAAAACAAAATATGTTCTACTCGTAAATGCCATAATATGTAGTTAAATAACTTAACAATTTAGACACTACTAGCAAAATACAACGATATTAGTAAAATACGAGGTATAAATGCTGTTTACTTCCACATATGCATGTGGTGGCATAGTGTGGACTTTATAGTGATTTAGTTATAGGTCTAAGCTGACCTCCAGTTTTTGGTCATGGCTTTTTTTTTTTTAGCGTGTAAACTTTGTAGGGGTGTACTCCAACTGCGCTAATGAAAATCCCCCCGAGTCGAGCTATAGTCCAACTGCGCCAATCAAAATTTCTTCCCCCCTGCTGCCCACAGGGTTTTCGAACTTTTCGAAGCCAATTGTAGCCAAGAGGAAAATAAAAATAAATAAATAGAATTATATATCACAAGAACAAGTAAAAAATATCTAACAAGCAGGCTAATTACTTGAATAACGGTAATAAATGCGAGAGCTAACAAAGAAAATAAAAGGTATTGGTAAACATACATATTAGCATTACAAACATCTTTCATTTATTATAATAATATCATAAATAATTATAAAGCATACCAATGATATTTTTAATAAATTACATCAATAATAGTCAAGATGTCTGAACTAGACTGGAAAATTTAATAGAGTTCACTAGCGTGCAAGAAATTATTCCATATCAAAGTGTGTTAAAGTGTGCTAGAAATATTTTTCGTTATAGTCAACAGGAATTAAAATACAGTGGTTAAAAATATAACTACTTGTCAGAAGGTATGAAAAGTTGCTATGGCTAGAGAAATTGAATGATTATAGAAAACTCATAAAGTTAAGCGCTACAGTGTGAAAAGAAAATTCTGGAATAAACATGTTAAGAAAATTAGATGGAGAAATAATCCTTAATTTATTGATATCCATATAAACTCTATGCTTTTGGAAAAATGTTACATATAACTTTTGCACCGAGGACTGAGTTCAATCACCTTTAAACCGAGTTAATTTCTTTTCTTATTAGAGGGATATGTAAAAAGATATGCTAAGGTGAAAATTTTTGCAATATTTTTTAAGAACAAATTTAAAAAGTATTTTTACAGAATAAATTTAAAAAGTATTTTTACAGAATAAATTAAAAAGTATTTTTACTTCATGAACTCAAAATTTTTACGCTACATTTTTACACAGTAAATAAGTACAAAAAAAAAAAAAAAAAAAAAAAAAAAAAAGAGCTGTGAGCTGGGGGATCTCTGGGACTAAAAACTTCGGGTCGAAACTACCAATGTTTAGTGACTTTTTTCGCTTGATGTATAAGACTGTTTAAAATTAGGCGGAACAATATATTAAAGAAAATAGAAGATACAGCACACGTAAGAACAAAAGTGTGCTGAATTAGAGATTTACATGTTTGGTGAATGAGTTAAACTTACCTGTATGCCATTATGAAATATTAGGAATGTAGCATAAAAGCATGAGTGAAGAAGGCAATGGCAATCTAAATCATTGTAATCTAAATGTATATCATCAGTATCTGCTATTAATTTCAATACTGCTGAGAAAATTATAAATGAAATATATTATAAATCACATGAACTCTTTGCATTATAAATTACAACAGTTAGAAATATTATTAGCGTGATTTAGCGACCATCTTTGTTAACAAATAATTTCAAGTAATTAATTTTACAAATAATTCAGCCTGAAATTAGGTTGGAAAATAAGCTACATGCTGAAGATTAAGCTTTGCCAAGGTGTTAGAAACATCTTCTGTTAAATAGAGTTGTGATGCAAGAATTTATAAAAATTATCATTTAAATATAAATTGGCATAAATACAATACAAAGTATATAAATTCTACATACATGAAAACTTGAGTACAGTGCAACAATATGTGAAAAAGGAATGGATTAAAAGGGAACTGAAAACCCCAGGATATGAATATAAGGGAGTTTATGACTAAAATCCACAACTTGGAAAGTTTTTAATTCTTACAGAGAATAAAAAAGATCTGGCTCATCATTCCTTTAAGCATCATTAAAACTTTAAATGAGTGTAAAAGAAATTTATTTTTTAGCACACTCCAGACTTTAAATTAATATTTGTTTTACATGCACAATTTTTACAATATTGATAAACGAAAATAAAGGCTTGCAGTCTCAATAGAATGTCCCATTAATGGCGATAAATGACTTTTTGTAGCACCCAATCTTCTTGGAAAGAAATGGGGGACAGGAAACGTCGCGCAGTTCGTGGATTAGAAAAGAGGGGGACGGGGATTTTCGATCAAATTTGGCGCAGTTCGTACTCTACCCTTTGTAGACGGTGTCACATTATACACATATGTAACTAACAATCATAATTTTAAATTATTTTTAAGTCATAATGAAAACAAATCATAATTTTAAATTATTCATCAAAACCTTTTCAATTCTTCTAAATAGCTTCAACTGTCATTTTTTTTTTCTTTCTAAAGAGCTAGTATATATATTTTAAATATTTGAAATGAATTCTCTTATTATTAGAATTCTTCTTGTTCTTCTTCTTCTTATTATTATTATTATTAGTGATGGGACTTTGGAATCCCACAAATTTCGCAAAAACTGGAACCTTCAACCATTTGTCCATCATCAAGTTTATCAAATCCTAACCTTTTATTTTAAAAAATAAAATAAATTGAAAGTTAAAAAAAATATTAGTAAAAAAAAATTAAAAATTATTGACGCTCAATAAAAGCGTTCATTAGTTAAAAAAAAAAACATGCGATAGTTGAAGTTTTAATGGACTGATCGCCAATTTAACCCTTTGACACCTTTGTGGCCCACCAGTGCCTGGCGGGTAAGTCACTGAATTTTGGTAGTTAAACCTGGGTCCAGTTCTAAATTGGAGGTTTTCTTTCTCTTTGTCTGTATCCCTGTGAAGTTAATTGGAAAAGAAGATTATTGAAAATTTTATAAAGCCCTTACCAGAAAGTGAATACCATCCATTTGAATATGCAGCTAGATGTGTTGACCAGTATAACCATTATGAATTATTAAGAACAGATGAGAGATGTCTTAATTCCTTACATTTATTCCCTTGAAAAATTACTTTTTTGCATTGCTTCAGATTCGAAAATATATTCACAGTAGATTTATACTACTGTGAATATATTTTCATCTTTTAACTGAAATATTTATTTCGTACTTTTGTGGCATGCATATATCTTATAGACAGCTTAGTAGGTAAAACGGTTATTTTTAATTAAGAAGAAACAAAACCTGATAAGATTTGATATTCGAATAGAAATAAACTGAAAATGCTCTCGTAGGATACACGGATGACTGTTGATAAACTAAGGAACTCCGACCCGAATAACGAATAATGTTTACGCATTTATTATTTATTCTACAGTGAAAGACGAGACTAAAACCTCTCGGCCTTTTCCCCCCTTCGTTAGATGAAGTGCAGAGCAGAACAAATAAATCGAGCATTGGAACCTTGTCTTATCATTCTCATTATCCCTATGTTTATTTCGCTTATCTTGAGCACCGTAATATTTGTGATTGTATGTATATGCCTCCGCTAACCGCGATGTTTTTCAAAGTAGAAAGCTGGGAGTTTTCTTCTCTCACTGTCATAGAGAGCATGATTCTCAATTTGACCCTCGGTAATCTCCAATAATCTCTAGAATGCAAGGTGTTTTTATTACACCATTGAAACTGAAAACTGTCTTCTCACAGTTGTTGATGATCCGGACTGATGTAATTATCGAATAGTAAATAGGATATGAAACTGTTTATAAATTACTTTTCTTCATAGCTGAAAAACAGAAGCGAAAATGTTTCTATGACAGGCTTAACACATTTCACTTAATCAGTTAATGATAGCGCGTTCTTGCAGCTTCATATCTTTTGCTTTATTTATCTGATATTTTGACTGAAGTCTTAGTGTTGTGTAAGAATGACAGAGAGGATTAGCAGAGGTCGACCTTCCCTGGCACTCTCAAAATATTTAGAACCATTTAATAAAGACTAGTAAACGGAGAGATAATCTGTGGTCGAACAGGTGACCGTAATACCAAAATGTTGTTGGTGAATCAACTAGCATTTTGGTAATAACATATGCTGTGAGTTTTTTTTTAGTAGATTATGGTTCAGCCTGCTAAGGGTTATCAGCCTGACGAGATGAATGCCTTCCTTGAAGATCATTCTAAGAGAAACTGTCTCATATTCATGTTATACACGAGAAAAACGACGATGCAGTTACCATGTTCATCAGAATTCGAACAGGAATCTGCATTTTATCCTCTCGGTGTTATAGCTATTGAGTCACCAGTGCTTAGAAATCTCACCCACTTGGCCAATAGCGGCCTCCATAATACTTTTGACTCGGTGAAGTTGTTTGATGAAACGATATGTTTTATTAGTAGTATATACCTTTACATTCCCATTAGTGTATTGAAATGAAAATAGTTTGTGCCATAGCCGAAATGTTCAGATGTCCATTATAATTATGATCGACCAAAATTTTTATAGACTGAAAAACTGAATGCTTCAACTTATAAAGCATAAAGAAACTGCAACATTCCTACTTAAGATTATTTGTTATGCAAATGAAATAATGCGCTGTATTTGAAACAAAAATCTTTCTTAAATTATTTAAACTGTGATTGCGGGTAATTTCATCGATAAGTCAAATCATTGGTCCATTTTGATCAAATAGCTTG